ATGATGTGATTTTCTGGAATTTTCTTTGGGATTCTGTCTTTCACTGTTAGAATGTACATATGATTAAAGTTATAGATCGTTGCATTATTTGTAAGTGGGCAAACCTGCAAAATCAGCAAGGGCTCAAATACTTATTTCCCCCACTGTAAGTATTTGACCCCTTGCTGATTTTGCAGGTTTTTCTACATACAAAGAATGCAACGATCTATAACTTTAATCATATGTACATTCTAACAGTGAGAGACAGAAAATTCCAGAAAATCACATCATATGAATTTATAAAAATTGATAACAATCTGATGAGGAAAAATAAGCATTCTTTGTAAGTGGGCAAACCTGCAAAATCAGCAAGGGGTCAAATACTTATTTCCCGCACTGTATTTATCCCCAGAAAAAAACAAGAACTGGACTATTTCCAGCTGTGTGGATCCAGCTGAGTGTACGCGCGTTATAGTTAAGTTTTAAAACTTTAAAAAACCTTTGTAAAGTGAGTTATGAATAAAACGTGAAACCTTTATTTTAAACCCAGACATCATAAATGTGGACGTGCTGAAACATGACCCCCCCCCTCCTGCTGTCTGTTGTGTGCTCTACAATCTTTTTTCATGAGAAAGTTGCACTATAAATTGGCTTTGCCTCCTTTCATCTATAGATGGTGATTAAACTGTTTTTTAATCCACGTGTTTGTGTGTTTGCTTTCAATTTAGGAGCAGAAATAAATGTATATCTCAGCTTCTCGTTGCTGATTTTGTAGAGTAGTTAAAAAAAGAAGAACATCAGACAAAGATGAAAAATGATGCTATCTAAGGAACATCAACATGTTATGATTGTATTGAAAAAAGTGATTTCTATTGGCTTTTTATAAAACTTAAATCTTATTCACCTCTTGTTTAATGGGTGTGTTTAACCTTTTTCCAGCTTTTGACTTGGAAGGGGATTAATTGATCTGTGTTTTAAAATCTTGGTGTAAAAACTACATTACAACCTGTTATGTGAGGCAATCTGACTAAAATACCACAGTTGTATTGTGTTGTTAAATAAACTAAATCAAAACAGATTATCACAGTTTATTTATGAATGAAGATGCAGTTGAATCAAGAGTTGAAAAACTGAATAGATTTTATTCAAAATATTAATTCTATCTTGAAAAATTAAAACCGTTCCTCTTTGGTTCATTAGAATACTATTTTTATCCCCTTTTTGTAAACAACATAAAGGTTAAAACTCAGAATAAAACAAAGATTGAAGTGCATCGGTGCAAAAAGAGACAAAATAGAAGATAATCAGGATCAAATAAACACATTTCAGCTAAATAAAAGTAATAATTCTTATCTTTTAGGGGGGTCATGTGTGAGGCAAATCAATATATATCATCATTTTCTTCACTTCTCTAGGGAATGTTCTCATGGGAATCTTTTCTCTTTCAGGCTTCCCAGAGAAGGTCTCCTTATATGTTATTTGTTAATGTTTTTGTCTGGAGGATTGTTTGGTACACGTGCAAATTTCTCTATGATGAGAGACAGACTTTAGTCCTTATCTCAGACTCAGGGAGGCTATAAAATGCTCCATGATTTGTTGATTTTAGGGTACGTAATAAGAACCCCTTTATGATGGTGCTGGTTGATCTGACTTCATGAAGTTTTCCCTTTTAAAGGAGTCATATTATACCCTATTTCAACAAGTTAAGCAGGATGGAATAGGATGATTTTCTACGGCACACCTGACCATCACTCACAGCACACTAGTGGTTGAAAAACACTGTCTCAGACTTTTAAACAGAATTCCCACAACACAAGCTAACCGGCCCCACTTTGTAAGCGTTAAAAATCGGTGGAAGTTGAGCTTAGCTCAGAAGCATGGTCAAAAGCTTTTAGGTTTGCTAAGAAAATGTTTACTTGTAACAGACTTCGGGAAAGCC